CACCAGAATCTTGATGCTGGCCGGCTGCCGCCATTCCCCCTTCCCTACGCTGGTTCCTCTCTCCGCGCCAATTTCCCCTTTCCCTCCGTGCTGGTGAGTCGATTCACCCACTCACCGGTGCCTTTCTTCCCTCGTTTCCGCCCTTCCCCCCCCCCCCCCCACCACCACCACCACCAAATCTCCCTTGAAACACTCAAAACGCATAAAAACCACCTTCCTCACTTTCAAAAACCCCCATACACCCTTCCCCAGACCCCCACCATCGAAAACTCTAGCCACTAAGGTTTCGGGAGTGGAGGGGCAGATTGGAGTTTTTGGGAGTGGAGGGGTTTGCTTGGTGTTGCGTGGGAGAATAGGAGGGAGTTTCGGGGAGGGGGGAAATCGCCGGCGACACCGGCAAGGGATGCAGTGGCCGCCGGAGGACTGGGCACTGGTGGGATTAAGGTGGGCCTGTGGGGGAAAGGGAGGAGTGTAGGTGGATGTGGTGGTGTTTTTTTTTTTGTTTTTTACTTTTTTTTTTTTAAATTTGGACCAATCCGGACTTGACACGTGTCAAGTTACCTATATAATAGGTCATTGACTTTTATTGATTGGTTTGAGATCGAAGAAAGAAAACAACCCCCAAAGTTGGGATTATTAAAAGAAAATGGAACAAAGTTAGGATTATTATTTACAAATTTTCCTTTCTAAATAGGGGAAGCATATTTAATTAGTTATATGGCTGTCTTTGATTGCCTTCCATATTGGTCTTGTCTTTTTTTCTTTTCTTTTTTTTTTTTTTTTCAAAGGAGGTACAAACTGAAAGAAAGAAAAAGCAAAATAAAACCAAACAAATACCTACGGATGGACTAAATGTGGTATAGCCACACCCCTAGAATCCTCCTCTAAAATACGACTAAGCTCAACTGGAACATTATAAATATACTCTAAAGGAGAGTCATGATTCATGAACAACTTTGCGGTTGGCCAAACAATCCGCCGCTCTATTTTCTTCTTTAAACACATGTGCTACCTTAGTTGACCAGCTTGGATCATTGAGCAGCTTCTGACAGTAGGTGATGTCGTGGATGTTTTCTCCCCTTGGTACTTCCTTCTTGCTTAAGGCCTGAACACACGCAATATTGTCCATCTGGACTTCTAGCTTATCAATCTGCAGATTACGAGCTAACTCCAATCCTCTAGTCAAGGCCAGTACTTCAGCTCTGAATGCGGTGCTGTAGCCAAAATTCGAATGAAATGCTGCAACAAATTGCCATTATAATCTCGAATAATAGCACCTCCTCCCGCTGGACCTGGCAACCTTTCACAGCACCATCACAATTTAGCGTATACAAGCCATAATCAGGAGCTTGCCAAGCCACAAATATATGTTTCTTCCTAATACCAGCCCCCTGCTCTTCACCTAGCACCCCTCTTAGCGCTCTTTTGGCCTCTTCATATCAAACTTGTAAGAAAGCTACAAAATCGATGGGAAATTCATCCCGCCTGTTAAAGGTGAAACAATTTCTCCACCTCCAAATCCACCAAATGGCAATCCCAAAATAAGTGACCCAACGTTCTTCCTCATCTTGGTCCGGATTTTTCATATTTTGTACAATCCATTCCTATGTTGCCTTGATAAAATTGTAGGCTTATCGAAGGGGTGAGGGTCTTCCTCCAAACTAATCTTGCGGTTGGGCAAGTCTTGGAGAATATTCAGTGCGACACATATGTAGCACTTTGGATCGTCTGTGAGCTTCCTCTTGAACCTATTTAAATTCCCAAGCACCCTATCATGGCATGCCAACCATAAAAATGCTCGGATTTGTTCGTTGTTAGACCGGAGCTTTCCAAACTATATCCCGGCACTCATCATCATGATACAAAGTGGCTGATCGAATGGTGAATTTCCCTTTATTTCCATCTTTCCAAAACACCAAATCACCCAAACTTGAATCTTTTCTTACCTCGTGGTTTTGGATTTTCTTGAGAGAAATCTCATTAAGGTACAGGCTGAAGATGTTCCATCTCTAGCCAATATCTTCTTCCCATATCACTTGGACCATAACCTTTACAATCTCTTCTCGTGTGACAAGGTCTCTTAGGGGTTCGTCAGTGCACCATCTATGCTCCCAAAATAAGGTGTTCATGCCATCCCTTATTGTTGTTTGAACTCCTTCTATAAACTTGGCATTTTCAGCTATACCACTCCAAACGTTGGACATTCCAGCCTTTGGTTTGAACATCTCTACATCGTAACGGCCTTTACAATACTTAGCTCGAAGCACTCTAGCCCAAAGGCGGATAGGACTCGCCACCCTAGCTTTGTGAGAAAGGCAGCATTCGCTTGCATAGCCGAATAAATCCCAATTCCACCTTGATCTCTAGGCCTTTGTAGAGTTTCCCAAGCTAGCAAATGCTTCTTTGTTCATCATTGCCACCCCAAACAAATTGGCAGGTTTTTTTATCAATGGACTCGCAAATGGACTTGGGTATCTTGGCCATCTACATTGAATACATCGCCATCGTCGATAGAGTAGAAGTAGCAAGAGTTATTCTCCCACCAAGAGATAAATACTTTGACTTCTATCTCGACAATCTCCTATCTATATTTTCACAAAGATGTTGAAACGTTTCCTTTGTGACCCTGCTTGTTGTTGGCATCCCCAAGTACATCCCAAGGTCTTTGGTGGGTTCCATTTGTAAAGCCGAGCTAATGCCAATTGGCTGCCAAATCCACATTCTTCGAAAAATAAACTCGTGACTTGGCTAAGCTCACTTTTTGACCCAAGGCATCACAAAATCTACGAAGACAATCATGAATTGCTTCGGGTTGATAGACACATGCCTCCGCACATAATATGATATCATCCGCAAAGAAAAGATTAGAAAGCAATGGTCCATCCCTACTAGCTTCGATGGGCTTCCACTTCTTTAGAATGATTGCTTCTTCAATCGTTTGATAGAACCTTTCCATGCACATAACAAACAAATAAGGTGAAAGTGGATCCCCTTGTCTCACCCCTCTTAAAGGTTTTGAAACTTTGGGATGGGTCTCTGTTCAATAGCACTTGGAGTGAAGCCAAAGGGATACACTCCATAATTAATTCTGCCATAAAAATAGGTAGATTCATTTAAACCATCGTATCTCGGATGAAAGACCATCTCAAGCTATCATAGGCTTTTTCAAAATCGATTTCAATTGCCATGTATCCTTTCTCTCCTTGTTTTCTTCTCATGGTATGGATGACTTCTTGGACAATTACAATGTTGTCTGTAATTTGATGCCCCAGAACAAAACTTGGCGTATTTGATATTAGATGAGGGACAGAGGGAGGACAAGTTTCAACCGATTCACAATCACTTTTGTGATTACTTTTGTATGCCACATTACATAACCCAATGGGTCGGAATTGGGATGCTAGTTCCGGATTTTCAGTTTTCGGAATCAAGGAAATGAATGTGTCATTTAGGTGTTCAGGCAACCCTTTTCCTTCAAGAATACATATTGAAGACCATGAAAAGTTTAATTGGTCTTGTCCTTGATTGGCTTCCATATTGGTCTTGTCTTTGATTGGCTTCTTTATTGCTCTGCGATAAAATAGTATTCCATCCACAAATAACAGCCATATTAAACTTTTTATGGTCTTCAATATGTATTTTTTTACCTTACCTAGGTCTGATTGTAAGTGTTTTCAATTTACAGACTTAACTACTTTCTGAAATATATGTAATAATTTCTATTTTAAGTTATACCAATATATATTACGGAGTTGTTCCAAGTATGGCTAATTTTACAAGGCTTAATTCCAAAAGTCAAACATGAACTATATGTGGACAACATATTGTCCAATTGTTTTTGTTCCAATTAATGATCTGCTGAATTCTACTCAGCAACTGTGGTACTTCAAAAAAAAAGTATTATGTTAATTATAATTATTACTTTTCGGTAGGATGTTTGGCAAGGCACTCAACTTCTAGCTATTGATGTTGCTGCTGCTGCGGGGCTCCTTAGAAGAGCAATAATAGGCGATGAACTAACTGAAAAGGAGAAGAAGTATCTTCGTAGAACCTGTACTGACATGGCGTCAGTGGTTCCAATTGGAGTTCTCATGCTTCTTCCTGTGAGTTTCTTAGCCCAATGTTATGCATGTTTCTCATGCTTCGTTTGACAGATTACAATGACTTGGGATCAAAATTTTGGTCTATATAGTATAAAAGACAAATAGTAATCATGTCTTTTACTTCCCATAATTGACAGGTCACTGCAGTTGGACATGCAGCAATGTTGGCAGCCATCCAAAGATATGTTCCAGCCTTGGTGTGTTTTCTGGATCTGTACTCCCAAATTTGAATTTTGTGTTGCAAAAAACCTTAATTATCGGTGTCCACTAAACTACATATATCTTGCAGATACCGTCACCATATGGGTCAGAACGGCTGGATCTACTAAGGCAGCTTGATAAAGTGAAGCAGACCAGTGCTGAGGATTCAAAGCTGGAGGACAATAATGTTGAGGATTCAACGTGAAGCTGAATTAAATCAATTAATCCTTCTGACTGTTGATACAAAAGGCAACTACATATGATTGACCTTAGTTTCTCTTGGTTCTAAAATCTTTTGCCAGCAGCTGCGAGTAAAGAAGTTCATTCCATATGTCTGGAACCCCGGGAAGACACCAATGGCTACAGTCTTCTATGAAGTGCTGTTCAGAAAGTGGCTCGCGATGGATCGATGGGTGGCCATCCATTCTAAACTCAGACAGATATGTAATATTCAAAAAATTGACCATCATCTCATTGCCTTCCATTTCTTTGACCACATCTAGAACATATTGGTTGAATGGCGGATCTGCCTGCAGATTCTTTTTGCTCGTCTCAGGTGCCAGGCTATCTCTACAAGTACCTCCTGTATCCCATGTTCCATTCCTGAGACACACATTCTTGTAAATTCAGAAACATAGCTTCATTAATATTTATTCATGATAGTGTTGTCAAAAGTGTTACAGTAACAATAAAGAATTAAGTGCAGTGCCTGTAATGAACTGGAGCATAGCTTCGGAAAAAAATGTGGCTTCTTTGTGAATTTAACTTCTCTTCTGCCCATGACTTTAGTGTCCTCATCGACCTTCGAAAAGCTTCCGTGTAATCCATTGTCATATTTACAACCCCTCCTTCCTGAAAGTAAATGCCCCTGAAAATGAAGAATAGGTAACATGATCTTGTTTGCCAGTTTGTTTTTGTTTTTTTTTTTTTTTTGTTTTATTAAAACAGATTAGTTATGAAAAAGAATGTTAGTGACTGCAATTATAGTGAAAAACAAATATATCAGTACATACGACCCAATAGTTTTCGCCTCATTCCACCAGTGACCATTATTGAAGACGAAAACATCTGCTCCTGGCCATTTCTCCGACCACCAGTGGAGCTTGTCAACCTTAATAGCTCCATGTACTTGTCCTGGCGAGTTAGGTGGTGGACGGCTTAGTCGTACAAGGAAGGGGACACGGTAATACTCAACACTCAAGTTGAAGTCTTGAAATATCATTGAGAAATAGCCTTTGTGCTTGGTTATAGGAACTCCATTTGCTTCATATATTAATGATTTGTTTGAAACTCCGGTTGATAGCATGCATAATAGTGACTCCCATTGGTTTCTACCTATCGAATCTCCGGCGAATATTATCCTTCCATTCCTGCTTCTCTCTAGAAAATCACTTGCATTGAATCTGAGACACATAAATTTTAGGCACCTTAGCATACATATGCTTCATACATTGAATGACATAGCATGTTTTTTGTCAAAAAAACATCATTTATTAGTGGATTAGAGGTAACTTGACATTGTATAGATATTCTAATTAACCTTTACCAGAACAATGTGATAGTCGTAAACGCAGTAGAGAACATAAAGGATAAACTTCCGTCGTGAAAGATTTTTTATTTGTTCGAATGAGCCACAAGGACAATCCGGCACATATCAAATTAGAACTAATAACAAAATAGGAGAAAAAATCATTTGATAATAAAAAATAAAGAGTACGTACCTAGGAAGATCACACCCATGAGGTTGCCATCGCCAATGACGGAAGCTTGTATTAGCACGTCCATTCTGATGACACCGGAACCCGGGATCGAGAAACCGGCAACTCTCGTCGTAGCTATGAAAAGGGTAGTTCTCATCCCACACCCATTCTCCATTGGAATAGTCACAAGTTTGTAGTTTTTGTTGAAAAGGAGAATAGTAACGAAGGTATTGGAGATCATAAGGGTTTATGATATTTGATATTGCAAAAATTATTATGGCAATTAAAATGAAAAATGACAAAATATAGGCATGTTTTTTTATGGTGATAGAATTGGTAGGTGTATATAGGCTTATGATTCTCTGTGTTTGAGTTTGGAGATCCATATCAAAAGGAGCAAAATATTCTAACTGTTTTTTTGGAGAGCTCACGTCGGTTTGGTTATTAACGAAAAAAATAATATTTTGGGAGAAAGATGAATTGTTTAATATTTAGCTGGTTAAATTCATATTATCTGTATCAAAAATTATAATAAAAAAAAAAGAAAAGAAAAAAACAGCTGATTAATTTCATTAAAACTACTAGTAATAATTTTTGATAAGTAATGCCGTGGATTATCGGGCAGAAATTAAGCGATGAATAGTTTAATGATTTATGTATTTAATACTTCGTAATAATTTGATCCAATGCATTTTTATCTTTATATGCACTCAATAATAAAGATGAACCAATATCTATTTTTATAAAATGCACGTTGGTTGTGCCCGCACTATCTCTATCATTGGTTGATTAATTCGTAAGTTAGGAAATAAAGAATGAGTTAATTGAATCGAAATGGTCTTGCATAGTTGCATGCACGCGTTTTGAGATTAAGCAAAATTTGGATCTAATTAATTGAAAATTTGGATCCAATTAACAAGATAGATCGTCAAAAAAAAAACAAAAAACAAAAAAAAACAAAGGGTATTAATAAGAAATTATTTTTTCTTTTTTTTTTAAATAGAACTAGTATAAAAATTTGTGATACACAATACTCAAGGAGGGTTTTTTTTTTTTTGACGAATAATCAATACATAACACTAGTACTCCCTAAGGGAGTAAAAGATACATTTTCTTTTTAAATTTTTTGTGTTGTAATTATCTTTTAGATTTTTCAGTTAATATGATACAATCCGTACATATACTAATTTTTCCAATATCCAAAATCATCCATTGCACAACGGTTAAAATAATTATATATGCCCTACACTTGACTTGGATTTCTTATTTTCCAATAAATTGATCTTAGAGCAAAAAAAAATGAGAAACTTGAAAGGAACTTGCTGCAATCAGGGCCGTTTCTGAAATTTCATTCGGAGGCCCTTGGGCGAACTAATATGTTGGGGCCAAATTTAATTTTTAGATTTTGTAATATAGGAAATCATTCTTTCTATTATATGGTAAGGACAATATTTGATTATAGCTTCTGTGAAATAATTTAACAAAAAATCAAATTGCATGCAATGTAAAATTAATAAATGATATATTATACGATAGCATATAATATTAGTAAAAAAATACTGAAATACTATTCCATACTTAATATAGAACTTTGGAAATTTTGTCAGAAACAACTTTTTAAAGTGTTCAATTTATTTAAAACAACCTTTTAAATTTTTTTTTACAATTTCAGACCACATTATAAAAAAAATTTATCAAAGACAACCAAATGCTACTTTCCGGCGTTTACTCTATTTTCCCCGATGTTGACCACAAGTCTGTAACGCACATGAACTCGTATATTGCTTAATACACCAATTTTCTCTCCAATTCACTCGTACTAAAAGAGGGATAAAAGAGAAGCAGGGGTTTTAATTGGAGGGAAAAGGGGTGTATTAAGCAATATAGGAGGTCGCGTGACTCGCACACTCGTGGCCAACATCGGGAAAAAATAGAGTCAACGCCGGAAAGTAACATTTGGTTGTCTTTGATAAAAAAAATAATTATAATGTGGTCTAAAATTGCAAAAAAAAAAAAAAATTTAAAAGGTTGTTTTAAATAAAGTGGACACTTTAAAAGGTTATTTTTGACAAATTTTCTTAGAACTTTTAAAAATTATGTATAAAAGATAATAACAATGACTCTATGTAGATCCAAATGTCTCATCTACCAAAACTAAAACAATATTATGATTAATTCTCTCCAACAAATGAAATTGATCACTAAGTTGCTCATAATCTATTACATCATTTTTACTATATTATGAAAAAAATTTGGATGCAATTATATTACATAAAAACTGAAAAATGGAAAATAATTATGGTTCATTAAAAGGATGATTATTTAGTTATTTTATAATATGAATATTTTTTTTTTTGTTTGAGCCTAGATCACAGGGAATACTTTTTATATAATATGAATATAATTACATATTGATCGAAATATGAATTAAGATTTCTTCTAATTGGATAAAAGTTCAAATACTTCGTAGCTAGATAGTATGTTGTACCCATTTTTTCTTTTCTTTTTTTTTTTTTTAATAAATGTATCTAATTTCAATGGGTTGTTTTGTAGATTGGGATTTTAATTACAGTAAATAATGGAGGGAAATCTAATAGAGGGATATCATAAACTTCATATCTTTTTTAAGATATTGAAAAAAAAACAAATTATTAACAAAAATCCTATTTAAGATACTGATCAAGAACCTGTCAAAAACGGTCTTGATTCAAAACGAGTTTTGGGTCACAATTTGACAACAACACTAGTCCCCCGGATTATTTGGTCGCATATCAGGTCGTTCTTTTCACACACAACAAATCAATCGTTCTCCCCACCCACAAAAAAAACAAAAAAAAAAAACTAAACTTTCTTCTCATAAAAAACTCAGTCGTTCTTTTCCCATTGCGGAACTAAACCAGCGTAAAAAAGTTTTTGAGAAATTAGAACCTGCATGCGTTAAGATTGATGTACCTTCTTCGGCAAACCATCAACTTGGTTCTGGAACAATCTGTAAAATCCGGGCTTTACTTATTGATTTTGACATGTGGGCATGTCGTGATTTCTAGGTCTATTGAGCAGAAAAAAGGAAGTGGGATTGGTTTTGGTTATGACGAATTATTGGGAGACATGGCTTTTAGTTAAATAAATTCATTTTCAAAATCCGAAGAATTTGGGAAAGTTTATTGTTGTTCGTTTCCGTATGGGGTGGACCATACATTCATGGTGGATGGAGCTGTATCCAATTACAAAGTTATCAGTGTCGTTTCTGATTATGACATTGCTAATGATTTATAGATAGCGGAAGGATCTTGTGGGACATCCATTGTAAATGACAATTGAAATTGTAGGTATACATATTTCTGAGGATAAATTAGCGGTAACAAAGGATGACTTACTTGTATAATTTACGACAACTTGCAGGGTTTGATATTTATTTAGTGGCACAGTAGGCTTTGTTATTAATCCGTTTAGTATCATTATCTTTCTAATATCATACTTTGAGGATTTTATTATGATGATTGTTGTGTCAATATATATATTTCCTCCGTATTTTTTTTAAGTGTTACTGTTTGACCGGCACATAGTTTTAGGCAATTTAATTGACTTAAATAAAATAAGAGGTAAGTGGGTAGTTAGAATATTAAAAAATTGTAAAATAAAGACAGTGATGTTAGTAGTTTATTGAAAAATAATGAATGTGAGAAGAAAGATATATTAAAAAAAAAGTACTAATGGGTTTGGGTGGGAACCATGAGAGGAGATAGATATAATATTTTAATGTAATTTTTTTTTTCAAAAAAGAAGTGTAACACTTATTAAAACACGACCCGGATTTGATAAATGTAACACTTATTAAAACACGGAGGGAGTATAGTTTTACGCAGGCCCATATTTGACCCAGGGCAGCCGGGGCGGCCGCCCAGGACCCACGGACAGAAGGCCCTGATTCTGTTAGTACATTAGGCCTCTTTCATCTTTGTAGAATGATTATTGGAAAATGTGGAAGCAATTGCTTACCATTATTTCGTGTGGCTTAGTGTGGTTTGTTACGTCGGATAATTTTTACCTCCTTAATGGGAGGGAATCATATCTTAAAATAAGATTTTTGTTAATAATTTTTTTTTTACCAATATCTTAAAAAAAATATGAAGTTCATGATATCCCTCCATTAGATTTCCCTCCATTATTTACTGTAATTAAAATCCTAATCTACAAAATAGCCCATTGAAATTAGATACATCTATTAAAAAAATAAAAAATAAAAATGGGTACAGCATATTATCTAGCTACGAAGTATTTGAACTTTTATCCATTTGGAAGAAATCTTAATCCATAGTTCGATCAATATGTAATTATATTCCTAATATAAAATAACTGAATAATCATCCTTAATGAACCATAATCATTTTTCATTTTTCAGTTTTAATGTAATATAGTTGCATTCAAATTTTTTTCATAATATAGTAAAAATGATGTAATAGATTACGATTAACTTAGTGATCAATTTCATTTGTTAGAAACAATTGATCATAGTATTGTTTAAGTTTTGGTAGATGAGACATTTGGATCTACATAGAGTCATTGTTATTATATTTTATACATAATTTTTAAAAGTTCTATATGGAGTAGTATTTCAGTTTTTTTTTTTTTTTTTTTTACTAATGTTATATGCTATCGTATAATATATTATTTATTAATTTTACATTTTATGCAATTTGATTTTTTTGTTAAATTATATTACAGAAGTTATAATCAAATATTGTCTATACCATATAATAAAAAGAATGGTTTCCTATATTACAAAATCTAAAAATTAAATTTTGGGTCCCAACATATTAGTTCGCCCGAGGGCCTCCGAAATCTCATAAACGGTACTGATTTTACGTATTTGTTAATTTACAAAGAATTTATATATAATTTGTTAATATGTCATTTTACTCTTATATGTGCTTAATTATTCACGATTTATTGCTATTGCATGCTTGATCACGCCCTTTTTTTGCAGGTTTAAAGGGAATTTGTACTTGAAATCATGCTTAATAAGATAATTAATTTGATTTAAGTTAATATGATTTTAATTCAAGTGATCGCAAATAATATATTTATTTGTGCATTAACTTATTTTATTTGCAAGTGTGGTGTTTGGCTAAACTTGCCCCATGCTAAGTTTGTACCTGTATTTCATTACCAACTCTTTAATCTTCTTTCCAACAAAAAGTAGCAGAGTAAATTGGTCTTTACCAATTACTGTATTCCTTGTTTTAAGGTGTTTCATGAACTAAATTCCTTAGTGTTAAAATGTTTCTTGACAATGATCGTGAAATATTGTGTGTAATGTACATCAATATCGTACGTAGAAATTCAAATGTTTATATTTGTCAAAAAAAACGATAATACATGCAAAATTGTGTCTAATGTATATCAACGATTTGAATTATCGGGTGCGCACAAGATTGTGTGTCTAGAATAGTTGTCCAAGCTCCAAAACACAAGGACAAGAACAATTTTTTTTTTTTGGTATTTTTGGTGTTTAAAGAGCACAGAGGCGGGGTGGGAATCGATCTTGAATCTCCAAAAATCGGAAGAGAAGCTCTAACCACTTGAGCTATTGTAACAAGTTAATAACGACATTATAGAGTTCGCTTTCGTAAGTGTTCTTAAACTTCTTACTCATGATAGATTGCTACTCATGCTTCACTTAAATTGTTATTCACAAAATATAAAGAAAAAATTATCAGGAATAATTCGACCTTTGGCTCATCCGCCCAAAATAATCCCCTTTAGATTATTTTTTAATAATCCGATATTTTTACTCAAACCGCTCCCAATGGTCCTAAGTGACCGGTTACCTTAAAAAAGGTTTTTTTTTTTTTTTTTTAAAGTACACATGTCATCAACTCACCATACAATTTGTCTGTAATTAAAAATCAAAAAATAAATTTTTAAAAAAAATAAAAGAAATGGCAGGCAGCCGCCACCTCCTACACAGGTCCCATCCACCGTGTCATTATCGTCCACCAGCCCCAACTATCAGATCGAAGCTCATGTCGTTGTCGTCGTTATTATGGGTGGTATGGGCGACCGAAAGCGAAGCAGGGGTGAGTGAGGGAGGCCGAAATCGTGGCGGAGGAATGTGAGGAAGGTCGAACTCGAGCCGAGGAAAAGGATGGAGGCCGAAATCGGGACGGGGGAAAGGGTTATCTACCGAAATCGGAACAGGGGAAGGGGAGGGAGCCGGGATCGGGGCGGAGCTGGGGTTTTCGAGGGTTTGGGATGGTTTTAACGGATGTTCGTGGGTTGATGGGTGATTTAATGGAGAAGGGGCCGAAATCGTGACGGTGGGAGGGGGTTAGTGGTTTGGTGGAGGATGAAGGAGGGTGTTGGCGTTGGGGGAGGGAGTTTGGGCAGGGGAGTCCGTACCTTGGCCGACGGGAACGGGCGGCGAGGAGGTGGCATGGGCTGGTGGGGTTTTTTTCAATAATCAATTTTTTTAAAAAATATAACTTATTTGACTAATCACATGCCAACACGTGTCAAGTAACTTATAATAACCAGTCAGTTGACCGGTTGGGACCATTGGGAGCCGATAGGGTATAAAGGCAGGATTAATCAAAAGTAATCGAAAGGTAAGATTATTTTGGGCGGATGAGCCAATGATTGGATTATTTCCGACAATTTTTACAAATCTTAAACCCTCGACTATGCAAAATTATTAAGTGAACCCCTCTTTGTTTATCCTTCGTAATCAATTTTTTTTTTTTAAGATCGCCATTAACTAATTCTTGCAAGAGTTGCAACAAGAGTATAAATAAGTCAGATTATTGGGTCTAGGAGTGGCAACGGATTGGATTCGGGTCGGATGGAGCTTCACCCGCATCCACCCGCTCACCCCACCCGCTCCACCCGATCCACCCGTCACCCGCAAAACTCATTACCCGCATCCGATCCATCCGTCATCCGCGGGTGAAACGGGTGGATCGGATGCTTAGCGGGTGATGATCATTATCCCTATTCAAAGTATTTACCCATTATTTTATATAAAAAAAATTAGCTAATTTTAAACATGACTATTAAACCATTAATTAGCTTCTAAAATTTCAAAATAATCACAAAACCAAATTACAAACTTGCGTTTTATTTAACAAGCTATAGCAATAATCACAAACTATAGCAATTAGCAATATATACAATTCATAATCATGAATTACGGCAACAATTAGAATACAAAATCATGAACAAAATAAATTAAAGGGGGAGATGAGAAGTGTCGCCGCTACAGCCTACAAGTGAAGATCGGAGTTTCGCAAACTCTCGCCGGTGAGGTCTGACTGTCTGAGGCCGTGAGGCGTGCAAATTCAGTGAGGAATGATGAGGCGTACAATTTCAGTGAGGAAAGAGAGTGAGGGACTGAGGGAGAGTGAGTTTAATTTCAATGGAGTTTATGTTAGGAGAGAGAGAGGAGAGAGGGGTGGCGTTGAGAGTTTTAGACTTAGGCCCCGTTTGGTTTAATGTAAAACATTTTCAATGGAAAATTAGTTTTCAAGGAAAATATATTTTCAAGGAAAAACACAATTTCAAATTAGTTTTCCTTTATTTGATTGCATACAAGAAAAGTCCAAGAAAAATAAAAAATAAAAGTGGAAATGTAAGGATAAATGAGAGAGAAGTAAAAAAAAAAAAAGGTAAGGAGGAAAGATGAAAATGTGGCTTCCCTTGTTTTTGGAAGGAAAATGTTTTCCATTATTAAGGATGGAATTTTCCACCCTTGAAAAATTGTTTTCCACTCCTTAACAAACCAAACAAAGGAAAATGGGAAAAAATGAAAAATTCATTTTTCATGAAAACCTTTTACATCAAACCAAACAGGGCTTTAGATACAGTCTTCAGTTAGGGTTTGTGAAATTAGGAGGGCCTTTTAAATATTTTAAAAACGACATTTTAGAAATAATTTGAAAAAATGTAAACGTAGTCTGTAGTATAGAACTCGTTTGAGTTTAAAATAAATAAAAAAATTATATTATATATGTTCGGGTGGATGACGGATCGGGTGATAAACGGATGACGGATTGGGTGATGAATGTAACGGAGCTCCACCCGAATCCGACCCGACCCGATCCGTCACCCACCCTTCATCCGTTTAACGCGGATTTTCATCCATTTATTTATATCGGGTGGATCGGGTTTGCGGATATCCATTTAGAATTGTCATCTCTAATTGGGTCGGTCTTAATTACCATTTATCCATAATCATGGTTGAGCGTGAGTGATGAACATCATTTCTCCCAGAATTCATCTTTTTGCGACTCAATTTGATAATTCAAAGAGGAATTTTACAAGGTTAACCCCATTTTATTTTATTTTGGCTATTTCTTACTTTCCAGTTTTAATTTCAGTGATTATTCTGTTAGTAATCTAAATGGGGCTTGAATGATTTGATCTCACTTAGTTAGAGTAAAATCCAGTAATCATATTGTGGTTTGTATGTTTTCTGTGAACGATTGCATGCTTAATTGTTGTCTATATTATCAAGATTATGAAATGCCCACCACCTGTTTGTTGAAATGCTTGTCACAGTATCTATATATTTTTGTGCTGCTTTCATTCTGTGGCCTTTTTGGTTTGATGGTAGGTAGGGTAGATAATTTTTAGAAGATACAAATATATAGTTAACTGCGTTGCAATTGGAAAAACAAACAAGCAAAAGATTATATAGTAATTGAATTTGGTCAATAGCTAATATCATGAATGGTCAAGATTGAGTACATTAAGAATAAGTTGTATTAGTATTATGGCTACAAAATTTCACTAGCTATTTTAAAAGTAGCCAATTACATGGATTAATCTTTATATCTTAAAAAAAACCAATTACATGTTACATCGAGTTGATTTAAAATGAAGTTAATTCCATGTTATGGTTAATGACTCAGTGATTGATGTAAGAAAGTGCTTGAATATCTTGGGAAGCTCTTTGATACTCAAGTTATACTACTGTTTTCATTAGCATTACTGTAGAGTGTAATTACATATTGTGCTCCACTTCAGCTTAACAAAAACTTGCAAATTCATGAGAACTGTACCTAATGGTGTGGTAGATAAAAAGTTGAATGTTGAGTTTTTGAAGAAATTATGTGTCTTTTTGTTTTTTGAAGAACTCATATGGTAACTTTCTATTCTTTTCAGGTCAATGTGTTAATATTCTTCAAATTTGAATATGAAGTTCAAGGTCGTGTGCAGGAAAATTAAAGATTATGTTCGTTATGATTTGAAAGAAATAGCATTTCCTTCCTCATTACCTGATCCGCCTCACATTAAAAAGCGGCGTAAATTGACTTGGAAGGAATCATATTATGTAAGATTTCTGTTGCTTCATATAGATCCTACTTTCATTATGGTGTCACTTATCTAATTGTTTCTTTAGCCACTGCTAAATTCACAGAGAATGTGTGTATTCTCACACAATCTGTGAGTTTCAACTTCCAGTTTTCTTTCTGAAAATCGTTATTCAACTCCGTTTTACCTTGCTTTTTTATTTCTCTGATCTGTTTGATATTGACATATTGTCACCATGCGTAGTTCAACTTTAAACCCTCTCTCCCCTATATATGTCTCCGCCCTCTTTTGTAGATAAACACTTATAATTAGTTTGACTGCTAGAGATTGTTGATCTGCTCAGTTTTGTACTGATTTGTATGATAAAATTTTCCTAGAAATTCTCCATGATTTAGCGTTAGATGTCTGAACATCTTCTAAGTTTGACACTATATCATATGGACATCTGCAAGATCTAAGATTAAAAATTACAAAATACTACTACGTAGTACGTTTGGTTATTCTCTCAATCAAGTGCTATATATTACGTAGTATTATGCAACTCACTAGGTGGTTCAAAATTCTGAGCTGGCAACTTTTAGCTGCTTCATAGCTTTTCATGAAATGTTTTGCAAATAGTATTTTAAAAGTACTCGAACTGTCACCATTTTCACTTTCCTCCATCCCAAATCAGAATTCTTAAATCTATTAACTTCTGAATTTGCGATGCAGTTGTAATTAATATCAAATCAATGCTGGATAGACCATGTACAGTGGATATATTTGATCTCCTACTTTCATGATTTTGTATGGTTGGGAATGTGGGGTTGGGGATTTGAGTTCCTTATTGCTTATTCCAGAAATTCAAATACACCTATGTAATCCTGTGTCCTCTCTCTCATTAGTAGCTAAGTAGCTTCCTCTTTATCTTCAATTTTTATGAATCTTTTAATAGCTCCTGAGAAATGGTAGAGTAACTCTGTCTTAAAGACAAGTTTATCCTATTCATCCTACCCTTGATCTTTCTTGTAAATTCTCCAGGTCCTGAAGGAGGCCTCCCGTCTTTATGCAGCAAGCTGGGTACGAGACATTGGTCCTGAACTCCGCCCAAATGATTACAAGAAGGAAGAAAGTGCAGATAAAAATGGATCAAATGAAAATAAGGAGAAAGAACCAACAACACTAGAGGATCTTGGTAATAAACCTTGTCTAAAAATAGATCATTTGGATATAATAGTAGTAATGATCCTAGATCTGCCATTACATGCTCTATGACTGCTAGAGATTGTTGATCTGCTCAGTTTTGTACTGATTTGTATGATAAAATTTTCCTAGAAATTCTCCATGATTTAGCGTTAGATGTCTGAACATCTTCTAAGTTTGACACTATATCATATGGACATCTGCAAGATCTAAGATTAAAAATTACAAAATACTACTACGTAGTACGTTTGGTTATTCTCTCAATCAAGTGCTATATATTACGTAGTATTATGCAACTCACTAGGTGGTTCAAAATTCTGAGCTGGCAACTTTTAGCTGCTTCATAGCTTTTCATGAAATGTTTTGCAAATAGTATTTTAAAAGTACTCGAACTGTCACCATTTTCACTTTCCTCCATCCCAAATCAGAATTCTTAAATCTATTAACTTCTGAATTTGCGATGCAGTTGTAATTAATATCAAATCAATGCTGGATAGACCATGTACAGTGGATATATTTGATCTCCTACTTTCATGATTTTGTATGGTTGGGAATGTGGGGTTGGGGATTTGAGTTCCTTATTGCTTATTCCAGAAATTCAAATACACCTATGTAATCCTGTGTCCTCTCTCTCATTAGTAGCTAAGTAGCTTCCTCTTTATCTTCAATTTTTATGAATCTTTTAATAGCTCCTGAGAAATGGTAGAGTAACTCTGTCTTAAAGACAAGTTTATCCTATTCATCCTACCCTTGATCTTTCTTGTAAATTCTCCAGGTCCTGAAGGAGGCCTCCCGTCTTTATGCAGCAAGCTGGGTACGAGACATTGGTCCTGAACTCCGCCCAAATGATTACAAGAAGGAAGAAAGTGCAGATAAAAATGGATCAAATGAAAATAAGGAGAAAGAACCAACAACACTAGAGGATCTTGGTAATAAACCTTGTCTAAAAATAGATCATTTGGATATAATAGTAGTAATGATCCTAGATCTGCCATTACATGCTCTATGACTGCTAGAGATTGTTGATCTGCTCAGTTTTGTACTGATTTGTATGATAAAATTTTCCTAGAAATTCTCCATGATTTAGCGTTAGATGTCTGAACATCTTCTAAGTTTGACACTATATCATATGGACATCTGCAAGATCTAAGATTAAAAATTACAAAATACTACTACGTAGTACGTTTGGTTATTCTCTCAATCAAGTGCTATATATTACGTAGTATTATGCAACTCACTAGGTGGTTCAAAATTCTGAGCTGGCAACTTTTAGCTGCTTCATAGCTTTTCATGAAATGTTTTGCAAATAGTATTTTAAAAGTACTCGAACTGTCACCATTTTCACTTTCCTCCATCCCAAATCAGAATTCTTAAATCTATTAACTTCTGAATTTGCGATGCAGTTGTAATTAATATCAAATCAATGCTGGATAGACCATGTACAGTGGATATATTTGATCTCCTACTTTCATGATTTTGTATGGTTGGGAATGTGGGGTTGGGGATTTGAGTTCCTTATTGCTTATTCCAGAAATTCAAATACACCTATGTAATCCTGTGTCCTCTCTCTCATTAGTAGCTAAGTAGCTTCCTCTTTATCTTCAATTTTTATGAATCTTTTAATAGCTCCTGAGAAATGGTAGAGTAACTCTGTCTTAAAGACAAGTTTATCCTATTCATCCTACCCTTGATCTTTCTTGTAAATTCTCCAGGTCCTGAAGGAGGCCTCCCGTCTTTATGCAGCAAGCTGGGTACGAGACATTGGTCCTGAACTCCGCCCAAATGATTACAAGAAGGAAGAAAGTGCAGATAAAAATGGATCAAATGAAAATAAGGAGAAAGAACCAACAACACTAGAGGATCTTGGTAATAAACCTTGTCTAAAAATAGATCATTTGGATATAATAGTAGTAATGATCCTAGATCTGCCATTACATGCTCTATGACTGCTAGAGATTGTTGATCTGCTCAGTTTTGTACTGATTTGTATGATAAAATTTTCCTAGAAATTCTCCATGATTTAGCGTTAGATGTCTGAACATCTTCTAAGTTTGACACTATATCATATGGACATCTGCAAGATCTAAGATTAAAAATTACAAAATACTACTACGTAGTACGTTTGGTTATTCTCTCAATCAAGTGCTATATATTACGTAGTATTATGCAACTCACTAGGTGGTTCAAAATTCTGAGCTGGCAACTTTTAGCTGCTTCATAGCTTTTCATGAAATGTTTTGCAAATAGTATTTTAAAAGTACTCGAACTGTCACCATTTTCACTTTCCTCCATCCCAAATCAGAATTCTTAAATCTATTAACTTCTGAATTTGCGATGCAGTTGTAATTAATATCAAATCAATGCTGGATAGACCATGTACAGTGGATATATTTGATCTCCTACTTTCATGATTTTGTATGGTTGGGAATGTGGGGTTGGGGATTTGAGTTCCTTATTGCTTATTCCAGAAATTCAAATACACCTATGTAATCCTGTGTCCTCTCTCTCATTAGTAGCTAAGTAGCTTCCTCTTTATCTTCAATTTTTATGAATCTTTTAATAGCTCCTGAGAAATGGTAGAGTAACTCTGTCTTAAAGACAAGTTTATCCTATTCATCCTACCCTTGATCTTTCTTGTAAATTCTCCAGGTCCTGAAGGAGGCCTCCCGTCTTTATGCAGCAAGCTGGGTACGAGACATTGGTCCTGAACTCCGCCCAAATGATTACAAGAAGGAAGAAAGTGCAGATAAAAATGGATCAAATGAAAATAAGGAGAAAGAACCAACAACACTAGAGGATCTTGGTAATAAACCTTGTCTAAAAATAGATCATTTGGATATAATAGTAGTAATGATCCTAGATCTGCCATTACATGCTCTATGACTGCTAGAGATTGTTGATCTGCTCAGTTTTGTACTGATTTGTATGATAAAATTTTCCTAGAAATTCTCCATGATTTAGCGTTAGATGTCTGAACATCTTCTAAGTTTGACACTATATCATATGGACATCTGCAAGATCTAAGATTAAAAATTACAAAATACTACTACGTAGTACGTTTGGTTATTCTCTCAATCAAGTGCTATATATTACGTAGTATTATGCAACTCACTAGGTGGTTCAAAATTCTGAGCTGGCAACTTTTAGCTGCTTCATAGCTTTTCATGAAATGTTTTGCAAATAGTATTTTAAAAGTACTCGAACTGTCACCATTTTCACTTTCCTCCATCCCAAATCAGAATTCTTAAATCTATTAACTTCTGAATTTGCGATGCAGTTGTAATTAATATCAAATCAATGCTGGATAGACCATGTACAGTGGATATATTTGATCTCCTACTTTCATGATTTTGTATGGTTGGGAATGTGGGGTTGGGGATTTGAGTTCCTTATTGCTTATTCCAGAAATTCAAATACACCTATGTAATCCTGTGTCCTCTCTCTCATTAGTAGCTAAGTAGCTTCCTCTTTATCTTCAATTTTTATGAATCTTTTAATAGCTCCTGAGAAATGGTAGAGTAACTCTGTCTTAAAGACAAGTTTATCCTATTCATCCTACCCTTGATCTTTCTTGTAAATTCTCCAGGTCCTGAAGGAGGCCTCCCGTCTTTATGCAGCAAGCTGGGTACGAGACATTGGTCCTGAACTCCGCCCAAATGATTACAAGAAGGAAGAAAGTGCAGATAAAAATGGATCAAATGAAAATAAGGAGAAAGAACCAACAACACTAGAGGATCTTGGTAATAAACCTTGTCTAAAAATAGATCATTTGGATATAATAGTAGTAATGATCCTAGATCTGCCATTACATGCTCTATGACTGCTAGAGATTGTTGATCTGCTCAGTTTTGTACTGATTTGTATGATAAAATTTTCCTAGAAATTCTCCATGATTTAGCGTTAGATGTCTGAACATCTTCTAAGTTTGACACTATATCATATGGACATCTGCAAGATCTAAGATTAAAAATTACAAAATACTACTACGTAGTACGTTTGGTTATTCTCTCAATCAAGTGCTATATATTACGTAGTATTATGCAACTCACTAGGTGGTTCAAAATTCTGAGCTGGCAACTTTTAGCTGCTTCATAGCTTTTCATGAAATGTTTTGCAAATAGTATTTTAAAAGTACTCGAACTGTCACCATTTTCACTTTCCTCCATCCCAAATCAGAATTCTTAAATCTATTAACTTCTGAATTTGCGATGCAGTTGTAATTAATATCAAATCAATGCTGGATAGACCATGTACAGTGGATATATTTGATCTCCTACTTTCATGATTTTGTATGGTTGGGAATGTGGGGTTGGGGATTTGAGTTCCTTATTGCTTATTCCAGAAATTCAAATACACCTATGTAATCCTGTGTCCTCTCTCTCATTAGTAGCTAAGTAGCTTCCTCTTTATCTTCAATTTTTATGAATCTTTTAATAGCTCCTGAGAAATGGTAGAGTAACTCTGTCTTAAAGACAAGTTTATCCTATTCATCCTACCCTTGATCTTTCTTGTAAATTCTCCAGGTCCTGAAGGAGGCCTCCCGTCTTTATGCAGCAAGCTGGGTACGAGACATTGGTCCTGAACTCCGCCCAAATGATTACAAGAAGGAAGAAAGTGCAGATAAAAATGGATCAAATGAAAATAAGGAGAAAGAACCAACAACACTAGAGGATCTTGGTAATAAACCTTGTCTAAAAATAGATCATTTGGATATAATAGTAGTAATGATCCTAGATCTGCCATTACATGCTCTATGACTGCTAGAGATTGTTGATCTGCTCAGTTTTGTACTGATTTGTATGATAAAATTTTCCTAGAAATTCTCCATGATTTAGCGTTAGATGTCTGAACATCTTCTAAGTTTGACACTATATCATATGGACATCTGCAAGATCTAAGATTAAAAATTACAAAATACTACTACGTAGTACGTTTGGTTATTCTCTCAATCAAGTGCTATATATTACGTAGTATTATGCAACTCACTAGGTGGTTCAAAATTCTGAGCTGGCAACTTTTAGCTGCTTCATAGCTTTTCATGAAATGTTTTGCAAATAGTATTTTAAAAGTACTCGAACTGTCACCATTTTCACTTTCCTCCATCCCAAATCAGAATTCTTAAATCTATTAACTTCTGAATTTGCGATGCAGTTGTAATTAATATCAAATCAATGCTGGATAGACCATGTACAGTGGATATATTTGATCTCCTACTTTCATGATTTTGTATGGTTGGGAATGTGGGGTTGGGGATTTGAGTTCCTTATTGCTTATTCCAGAAATTCAAATACACCTATGTAATCCTGTGTCCTCTCTCTCATTAGTAGCTAAGTAGCTTCCTCTTTATCTTCAATTTTTATGAATCTTTTTAATAGCTCCTGAGAAATGGTAGAGTAACTCTGTCTTAAAGACAAGTTTATCCTATTCATCCTACCCTTGATCTTTCTTGTAAATTCTCCAGGTCCTGAAGGAGGCCTCCCGTCTTTATGCAGCAAGCTGGGTACGAGACATTGGTCCTGAACTCCGCCCAAATGATTACAAGAAGGAAGAAAGTGCAGATAAAAATGGATCAAATGAAAATAAGGAGAAAGAACCAACAACACTAGAGGATCTTGGTAATAAACCTTGTCTAAAAATAGATCATTTGGATATAATAGTAGTAATGATCCTAGATCTGCCATTACATGCTCTATGACTGCTAGAGATTGTTGATCTGCTCAGTTTTGTACTGATTTGTATGATAAAAATTTTCCTAGAAATTCTCCATGATTTAGCGTTAGATGTCTGAACATCTTCTAAGTTTGACACTATATCATATGGACATCTGCAAGATCTAAGATTAAAAATTACAAAATACTACTACGTAGTACGTTTGGTTATTCTCTCAATCAAGTGCTATATATTACGTAGTATTATGCAACTCACTAGGTGGTTCAAAATTCTGAGCTGGCAACTTTTAGCTGCTTCATAGCTTTTCATGAAATGTTTTGCAAATAGTATTTTAAAAGTACTCGAACTGTCACCATTTTCACTTTCCTCCATCCCAAATCAGAATTCTTAAATCTATTAACTTCTGAATTTGCGATGCAGTTGTAATTAATATCAAATCAATGCTGGATAGACCATGTACAGTGGATATATTTGATCTCCTACTTTCATGATTTTGTATGGTTGGGAATGTGGGGTTGGGGATTTGAGTTCCTTATTGCTTATTCCAGAAATTCAAATACACCTATGTAATCCTGTGTCCTCTCTCTCATTAGTAGCTAAGTAGCTTCCTCTTTATCTTCAATTTTTATGAATCTTTTAATAGCTCCTGAGAAATGGTAGAGTAACTCTGTCTTAAAGACAAGTTTATCCTATTCATCCTACCCTTGATCTTTCTTGTAAATTCTCCAGGTCCTGAAGGAGGCCTCCCGTCTTTATGCAGCAAGCTGGGTACGAGACATTGGTCCTGAACTCCGCCCAAATGATTACAAGAAGGAAGAAAGTGCAGATAAAAATGGATCAAATGAAAATAAGGAGAAAGAACCAACAACACTAGAGGATCTTGGTAATAAACCTTGTCTAAAAATAGATCATTTGGATATAATAGTAGTAATGATCCTAGATCTGCCATTACATGCTCTATGACTGCTAGAGATTGTTGATCTGCTCAGTTTTGTACTGATTTGTATGATAAAATTTTCCTAGAAATTCTCCATGATTTAGCGTTAGATGTCTGAACATCTTCTAAGTTTGACACTATATCATATGGACATCTGCAAGATCTAAGATTAAAAATTACAAAATACTACTACGTAGTACGTTTGGTTATTCTCTCAATCAAGTGCTATATATTACGTAGTATTATGCAACTCACTAGGTGGTTCAAAATTCTGAGCTGGCAACTTTTAGCTGCTTCATAGCTTTTTCATGAAATGTTTTGCAAATAGTATTTTAAAAGTACTCGAACTGTCACCATTTTCACTTTCCTCCATCCCAAATCAGAATTCTTAAATCTATTAACTTCTGAATTTGCGATGCAGTTGTAATTAATATCAAATCAATGCTGGATAGACCATGTACAGTGGATATATTTGATCTCCTACTTTCATGATTTTGTATGGTTGGGAATGTGGGGTTGGGGATTTGAGTTCCTTATTGCTTATTCCAGAAATTCAAATACACCTATGTAATCCTGTGTCCTCTCTCTCATTAGTAGCTAAGTAGCTTCCTCTTTATCTTCAATTTTTATGAATCTTTTAATAGCTCCTGAGAAATGGTAGAGTAACTCTGTCTTAAAGACAAGTTTATCCTATTCATCCTACCCTTGATCTTTCTTGTAAATTCTCCAGGTCCTGAAGGAGGCCTCCCGTCTTTATGCAGCAAGCTGGGTACGAGACATTGGTCCTGAACTCCGCCCAAATGATTACAAGAAGGAAGAAAGTGCAGATAAAAATGGATCAAATGAAAATAAGGAGAAAGAACCAACAACACTAGAGGATCTTGGTAATAAACCTTGTCTAAAAATAGATCATTTGGATATAATAGTAGTAATGATCCTAGATCTGCCATTACATGCTCTATGACTGCTAGAGATTGTTGATCTGCTCAGTTTTGTACTGATTTGTATGATAAAATTTTCCTAGAAATTCTCCATGATTTAGCGTTAGATGTCTGAACATCTTCTAAGTTTGACACTATATCATATGGACATCTGCAAGATCTAAGATTAAAAATTACAAAATACTACTACGTAGTACGTTTGGTTATTCTCTCAATCAAGTGCTATATATTACGTAGTATTATGCAACTCACTAGGTGGTTCAAAATTCTGAGCTGGCAACTTTTAGCTGCTTCATAGCTTTTCATGAAATGTTTTGCAAATAGTATTTTAAAAGTACTCGAACTGTCACCATTTTCACTTTCCTCCATCCCAAATCAGAATTCTTAAATCTATTAACTTCTGAATTTGCGATGCAGTTGTAATTAATATCAAATCAATGCTGGATAGACCATGTACAGTGGATATATTTGATCTCCTACTTTCATGATTTTGTATGGTTGGGAATGTGGGGTTGGGGATTTGAGTTCCTTATTGCTTATTCCAGAAATTCAAATACACCTATGTAATCCTGTGTCCTCTCTCTCATTAGTAGCTAAGTAGCTTCCTCTTTATCTTCAATTTTTATGAATCTTTTAATAGCTCCTGAGAAATGGTAGAGTAACTCTGTCTTAAAGACAAGTTTATCCTATTCATCCTACCCTTGATCTTTCTTGTAAATTCTCCAGGTCCTGAAGGAGGCCTCCCGTCTTTATGCAGCAAGCTGGGTACGAGACATTGGTCCTGAACTCCGCCCAAATGATTACAAGAAGGAAGAAAGTGCAGATAAAAATGGATCAAATGAAAAATAAGGAGAAAGAACCAACAACACTAGAGGATCTTGGTAATAAACCTTGTCTAAAAATAGATCATTTGGATATAATAGTAGTAATGATCCTAGATCTGCCATTACATGCTCTATGACTGCTAGAGATTGTTGATCTGCTCAGTTTTGTACTGATTTGTATGATAAAATTTTCCTAGAAATTCTCCATGATTTAGCGTTAGATGTCTGAACATCTTCTAAGTTTGACACTATATCATATGGACATCTGCAAGATCTAAGATTAAAAATTACAAAATACTACTACGTAGTACGTTTGGTTATTCTCTCAATCAAGTGCTATATATTACGTAGTATTATGCAACTCACTAGGTGGTTCAAAATTCTGAGCTGGCAACTTTTAGCTGCTTCATAGCTTTTCATGAAATGTTTTGCAAATAGTATTTTAAAAGTACTCGAACTGTCACCATTTTCACTTTCCTCCATCCCAAATCAGAATTCTTAAATCTATTAACTTCTGAATTTGCGATGCAGTTGTAATTAATATCAAATCAATGCTGGATAGACCATGTACAGTGGATATATTTGATCTCCTACTTTCATGATTTTGTATGGTTGGGAATGTGGGGTTGGGGATTTGAGTTCCTTATTGCTTATTCCAGAAATTCAAATACACCTATGTAATCCTGTGTCCTCTCTCTCATTAGTAGCTAAGTAGCTTCCTCTTTATCTTCAATTTTTATGAATCTTTTAATAGCTCCTGAGAAATGGTAGAGTAACTCTGTCTTAAAGACAAGTTTATCCTATTCATCCTACCCTTGATCTTTCTTGTAAATTCTCCAGGTCCTGAAGGAGGCCTCCCGTCTTTATGCAGCAAGCTGGGTACGAGACATTGGTCCTGAACTCCGCCCAAATGATTACAAGAAGGAAGAAAGTGCAGATAAAAATGGATCAAATGAAAATAAGGAGAAAGAACCAACAACACTAGAGGATCTTGGTAATAAACCTTGTCTAAAAATAGATCATTTGGATATAATAGTAGTAATGATCCTAGATCTGCCATTACATGCTCTATGACTGCTAGAGATTGTTGATCTGCTCAGTTTTGTACTGATTTGTATGATAAAATTTTCCTAGAAATTCTCCATGATTTAGCGTTAGATGTCTGAACATCTTCTAAGTTTGACACTATATCATATGGACATCTGCAAGATCTAAGATTAAAAATTACAAAATACTACTACGTAGTACGTTTGGTTATTCTCTCAATCAAGTGCTATATATTACGTAGTATTATGCAACTCACTAGGTGGTTCAAAATTCTGAGCTGGCAACTTTTAGCTGCTTCATAGCTTTTCATGAAATGTTTTGCAAATAGTATTTTAAAAGTACTCGAACTGTCACCATTTTCACTTTCCTCCATCCCAAATCAGAATTCTTAAATCTATTAACTTCTGAATTTGCGATGCAGTTGTAATTAATATCAAATCAATGCTGGATAGACCATGTACAGTGGATATATTTGATCTCCTACTTTCATGATTTTGTATGGTTGGGAATGTGGGGTTGGGGATTTGAGTTCCTTATTGCTTATTCCAGAAATTCAAATACACCTATGTAATCCTGTGTCCTCTCTCTCATTAGTAGCTAAGTAGCTTCCTCTTTATCTTCAATTTTTATGAATCTTTTAATAGCTCCTGAGAAATGGTAGAGTAACTCTGTCTTAAAGACAAGTTTATCCTATTCATCCTACCCTTGATCTTTCTTGTAAATTCTCCAGGTCCTGAAGGAGGCCTCCCGTCTTTATGCAGCAAGCTGGGTACGAGACATTGGTCCTGAACTCCGCCCAAATGATTACAAGAAGGAAGAAAGTGCAGATAAAAATGGATCAAATGAAAATAAGGAGAAAGAACCAACAACACTAGAGGATCTTGGTAATAAACCTTGTCTAAAAATAGATCATTTGGATATAATAGTAGTAATGATCCTAGATCTGCCATTACATGCTCTATGACTGCTAGAGATTGTTGATCTGCTCAGTTTTGTACTGATTTGTATGATAAAATTTTCCTAGAAATTCTCCATGATTTAGCGTTAGATGTCTGAACATCTTCTAAGTTTGACACTATATCATATGGACATCTGCAAGATCTAAGATTAAAAATTACAAAATACTACTACGTAGTACGTTTGGTTATTCTCTCAATCAAGTGCTATATATTACGTAGTATTATGCAACTCACTAGGTGGTTCAAAATTCTGAGCTGGCAACTTTTAGCTGCTTCATAGCTTTTCATGAAATGTTTTGCAAATAGTATTTTAAAAGTACTCGAACTGTCACCATTTTCACTTTCCTCCATCCCAAATCAGAATTCTTAAATCTATTAACTTCTGAATTTGCGATGCAGTTGTAATTAATATCAAATCAATGCTGGATAGACCATGTACAGTGGATATATTTGATCTCCTACTTTCATGATTTTGTATGGTTGGGAATGTGGGGTTGGGGATTTGAGTTCCTTATTGCTTATTCCAGAAATTCAAATACACCTATGTAATCCTGTGTCCTCTCTCTCATTAGTAGCTAAGTAGCTTCCTCTTTATCTTCAATTTTTATGAATCTTTTAATAGCTCCTGAGAAATGGTAGAGTAACTCTGTCTTAAAGACAAGTTTATCCTATTCATCCTACCCTTGATCTTTCTTGTAAATTCTCCAGGTCCTGAAGGAGGCCTCCCGTCTTTATGCAGCAAGCTGGGTACGAGACATTGGTCCTGAACTCCGCCCAAATGATTACAAGAAGGAAGAAAGTGCAGATAAAAATGGATCAAATGAAAATAAGGAGAAAGAACCAACAACACTAGAGGATCTTGGTAATAAACCTTGTCTAAAAATAGATCATTTGGATATAATAGTAGTAATGATCCTAGATCTGCCATTACATGCTCTATGACTGCTAGAGATTGTTGATCTGCTCAGTTTTGTACTGATTTGTATGATAAAATTTTCCTAGAAATTCTCCATGATTTAGCGTTAGATGTCTGAACATCTTCTAAGTTTGACACTATATCATATGGACATCTGCAAGATCTAAGATTAAAAATTACAAAATACTACTACGTAGTACGTTTGGTTATTCTCTCAATCAAGTGCTATATATTACGTAGTATTATGCAACTCACTAGGTGGTTCAAAATTCTGAGCTGGCAACTTTTAGCTGCTTCATAGCTTTTCATGAAATGTTTTGCAAATAGTATTTTAAAAGTACTCGAACTGTCACCATTTTCACTTTCCTCCATCCCAAATCAGAATTCTTAAATCTATTAACTTCTGAATTTGCGATGCAGTTGTAATTAATATCAAATCAATGCTGGATAGACCATGTACAGTGGATATATTTGATCTCCTACTTTCATGATTTTGTATGGTTGGGAATGTGGGGTTGGGGATTTGAGTTCCTTATTGCTTATTCCAGAAATTCAAATACACCTATGTAATCCTGTGTCCTCTCTCTCATTAGTAGCTAAGTAGCTTCCTCTTTATCTTCAATTTTTATGAATCTTTTAATAGCTCCTGAGAAATGGTAGAGTAACTCTGTCTTAAAGACAAGTTTATCCTATTCATCCTACCCTTGATCTTCTTGTAAATTCTCCAGGTCCTGAAGGAGGCCTCCCGTCTTTATGCAGCAAGCTGGGTACGAGACATTGGTCCTGAACTCCGCCCAAATGATTACAAGAAGGAAGAAAGTGCAGATAAAAATGGATCAAATGAAAATAAGGAGAAAGAACCAACAACACTAGAGGATCTTGGTAATAAACCTTGTCTAAAAATAGATCATTTGGATATAATAGTAGTAATGATCCTAGATCTGCCATTACATGCTCTATGACTGCTAGAGATTGTTGATCTGCTCAGTTTTGTACTGATTTGTATGATAAAATTTTCCTAGAAATTCTCCATGATTTAGCGTTAGATGTCTGAACATCTTCTAAGTTTGACACTATATCATATGGACATCTGCAAGATCTAAGATTAAAAATTACAAAATACTACTACGTAGTACGTTTGGTTATTCTCTCAATCAAGTGCTATATATTACGTAGTATTATGCAACTCACTAGGTGGTTCAAAATTCTGAGCTGGCAACTTTTAGCTGCTTCATAGCTTTTTCATGAAATGTTTTGCAAATAGTATTTTAAAAGTACTCGAACTGTCACCATTTTCACTTTCCTCCATCCCAAATCAGAATTCTTAAATCTATTAACTTCTGAATTTGCGATGCAGTTGTAATTAATATCAAATCAATGCTGGATAGACCATGTACAGTGGATATATTTGATCTCCTACTTTCATGATTTTGTATGGTTGGGAATGTGGGGTTGGGGATTTGAGTTCCTTATTGCTTATTCCAGAAATTCAAATACACCTATGTAATCCTGTGTCCTCTCTCTCATTAGTAGCTAAGTAGCTTCCTCTTTATCTTCAATTTTTATGAATCTTTTAATAGCTTCCTGAGAAATGGTAGAGTAACTCTGTCTTAAAGACAAGTTTATCCTATTCATCCTACCCTTGATCTTTCTTGTAAATTTCTCCAGGTCCTGAAGGAGGCCTCCCGTCTTTATGCAGCAAGCTGGGTACGAGACATTGGTCCTGAACTCCGCCCAAATGATTACAAGAAGGAAGAAAGTGCAGATAAAAAATGGATCAAATGAAAATAAGGAGAAAGAACCAACAACACTAGAGGATCTTGGTAATAAACCTTGTCTAAAAATAGATCATTTGGATATAATAGTAGTAATGATCCTAGATCTGCCATTACATGCTCTATGACTGCTAGAGATTGTTGATCTGCTCAGTTTTGTACTGATTTGTATGATAAAATTTTCCTAGAAATTCTCCATGATTTAGCGTTAGATGTCTGAACATCTTCTAAGTTTGACACTATATCATATGGACATCTGCAAGATCTAAGATTAAAAATTACAAAATACTACTACGTAGTACGTTTGGTTATTCTCTCAATCAAGTGCTATATATTACGTAGTATTATGCAACTCACTAGGTGGTTCAAAATTCTGAGCTGGCAACTTTTAGCTGCTTCATAGCTTTTCATGAAATGTTTTTGCAAATAGTATTTTAAAAGTACTCGAACTGTCACCATTTTCACTTTCCTCCATCCCAAATCAGAATTCTTAAATCTATTAACTTCTGAATTTGCGATGCAGTTGTAATTAATATCAAATCAATGCTGGATAGACCATGTACAGTGGATATATTTGATCTCCTACTTTCATGATTTTTGTATGGTTGGGAATGTGGGGTTGGGGATTTGAGTTCCTTATTGCTTATTCCAGAAATTCAAATACACCTATGTAATCCTGTGTCCTCTCTCTCATTAGTAGCTAAGTAGCTTCCTCTTTATCTTCAATTTTTATGAATCTTTTAATAGCTCCTGAGAAATGGTAGAGTAACTCTGTCTTAAAGACAAGTTTATCCTATTCATCCTACCCTTGATCTTTCTTGTAAATTCTCCAGGTCCTGAAGGAGGCCTCCCGTCTTTATGCAGCAAGCTGGGTACGAGACATTGGTCCTGAACTCCGCCCAAATGATTACAAGAAGGAAGAAAGTGCAGATAAAAATGGATCAAATGAAAATAAGGAGAAAGAACCAACAACACTAGAGGATCTTGGTAATAAACCTTGTCTAAAAATAGATCATTTGGATATAATAGTAGTAATGATCCTAGATCTGCCATTACATGCTCTATGACTGCTAGAGATTGTTGATCTGCTCAGTTTTGTACTGATTTGTATGATAAAATTTTCCTAGAAATTCTCCATGATTTAGCGTTAGATGTCTGAACATCTTCTAAGTTTGACACTATATCATATGGACATCTGCAAGATCTAAGATTAAAAATTACAAAATACTACTACGTAGTACGTTTGGTTATTCTCTCAATCAAGTGCTATATATTACGTAGTATTATGCAACTCACTAGGTGGTTCAAAATTCTGAGCTGGCAACTTTTAGCTGCTTCATAGCTTTTCATGAAATGTTTTGCAAATAGTATTTTAAAAGTACTCGAACTGTCACCATTTTCACTTTCCTCCATCCCAAATCAGAATTCTTAAATCTATTAACTTCTGAATTTGCGATGCAGTTGTAATTAATATCAAATCAATGCTGGATAGACCATGTACAGTGGATATATTTGATCTCCTACTTTCATGATTTTGTATGGTTGGGAATGTGGGGTTGGGGATTTGAGTTCCTTATTGCTTATTCCAGAAATTCAAATACACCTATGTAATCCTGTGTCCTCTCTCTCATTAGTAGCTAAGTAGCTTCCTCTTTATCTTCAATTTTTATGAATCTTTTAATAGCTCCTGAGAAATGGTAGAGTAACTCTGTCTTAAAGACAAGTTTATCCTATTCATCCTACCCTTGATCTTTCTTGTAAATTCTCCAGGTCCTGAAGGAGGCCTCCCGTCTTTATGCAGCAAGCTGGGTACGAGACATTGGTCCTGAACTCCGCCCAAATGATTACAAGAAGGAAGAAAGTGCAGATAAAAATGGATCAAATGAAAATAAGGAGAAAGAACCAACAACACTAGAGGATCTTGGTAATAAACCTTGTCTAAAAATAGATCATTTGGATATAATAGTAGTAATGATCCTAGATCTGCCATTACATGCTCTATGACTGCTAGAGATTGTTGATCTGCTCAGTTTTGTACTGATTTGTATGATAAAATTTTCCTAGAAATTCTCCATGATTTAGCGTTAGATGTCTGAACATCTTCTAAGTTTGACACTATATCATATGGACATCTGCAAGATCTAAGATTAAAAATTACAAAATACTACTACGTAGTACGTTTGGTTATTCTCTCAATCAAGTGCTATATATTACGTAGTATTATGCAACTCACTAGGTGGTTCAAAATTCTGAGCTGGCAACTTTTAGCTGCTTCATAGCTTTTCATGAAATGTTTTGCAAATAGTATTTTAAAAGTACTCGAACTGTCACCATTTTCACTTTCCTCCATCCCAAATCAGAATTCTTAAATCTATTAACTTCTGAATTTGCGATGCAGTTGTAATTAATATCAAATCAATGCTGGATAGACCATGTACAGTGGATATATTTGATCTCCTACTTTCATGATTTTGTATGGTTGGGAATGTGGGGTTGGGGATTTGAGTTCCTTATTGCTTATTCCAGAAATTCAAATACACCTATGTAATCCTGTGTCCTCTCTCTCATTAGTAGCTAAGTAGCTTCCTCTTTATCTTCAATTTTTATGAATCTTTTAATAGCTCCTGAGAAATGGTAGAGTAACTCTGTCTTAAAGACAAGTTTATCCTATTCATCCTACCCTTGATCTTTCTTGTAAATTCTCCAGGTCCTGAAGGAGGCCTCCCGTCTTTATGCAGCAAGCTGGGTACGAGACATTGGTCCTGAACTCCGCCCAAATGATTACAAGAAGGAAGAAAGTGCAGATAAAAATGGATCAAATGAAAATAAGGAGAAAGAACCAACAACACTAGAGGATCTTGGTAATAAACCTTGTCTAAAAATAGATCATTTGGATATAATAGTAGTAATGATCCTAGATCTGCCATTACATGCTCTATGACTGCTAGAGATTGTTGATCTGCTCAGTTTTGTACTGATTTGTATGATAAAATTTTCCTAGAAATTCTCCATGATTTAGCGTTAGATGTCTGAACATCTTCTAAGTTTGACACTATATCATATGGACATCTGCAAGATCTAAGATTAAAAATTACAAAATACTACTACGTAGTACGTTTGGTTATTCTCTCAATCAAGTGCTATATATTACGTAGTATTATGCAACTCACTAGGTGGTTCAAAATTCTGAGCTGGCAACTTTTAGCTGCTTCATAGCTTTTCATGAAATGTTTTGCAAATAGTATTTTAAAAGTACTCGAACTGTCACCATTTTCACTTTCCTCCATCCCAAATCAGAATTCTTAAATCTATTAACTTCTGAATTTGCGATGCAGTTGTAATTAATATCAAATCAATGCTGGATAGACCATGTACAGTGGATATATTTGATCTCCTACTTTCATGATTTTGTATGGTTGGGAATGTGGGGTTGGGGATTTGAGTTCCTTATTGCTTATTCCAGAAATTCAAATACACCTATGTAATCCTGTGTCCTCTCTCTCATTAGTAGCTAAGTAGCTTCCTCTTTATCTTCAATTTTTATGAATCTTTTAATAGCTCCTGAGAAATGGTAGAGTAACTCTGTCTTAAAGACAAGTTTATCCTATTCATCCTACCCTTGATCTTTCTTGTAAATTCTCCAGGTCCTGAAGGAGGCCTCCCGTCTTTATGCAGCAAGCTGGGTACGAGACATTGGTCCTGAACTCCGCCCAAATGATTACAAGAAGGAAGAAAGTGCAGATAAAAATGGATCAAATGAAAATAAGGAGAAAGAACCAACAACACTAGAGGATCTTGGTAATAAACCTTGTCTAAAAATAGATCATTTGGATATAATAGTAGTAATGATCCTAGATCTGCCATTACATGCTCTATGACTGCTAGAGATTGTTGATCTGCTCAGTTTTGTACTGATTTGTATGATAAAATTTTCCTAGAAATTCTCCATGATTTAGCGTTAGATGTCTGAACATCTTCTAAGTTTGACACTATATCATATGGACATCTGCAAGATCTAAGATTAAAAATTACAAAATACTACTACGTAGTACGTTTGGTTATTCTCTCAATCAAGTGCTATATATTACGTAGTATTATGCAACTCACTAGGTGGTTCAAAATTCTGAGCTGGCAACTTTTAGCTGCTTCATAGCTTTTCATGAAATGTTTTGCAAATAGTATTTTAAAAGTACTCGAACTGTCACCATTTTCACTTTCCTCCATCCCAAATCAGAATTCTTAAATCTATTAACTTCTGAATTTGCGATGCAGTTGTAATTAATATCAAATCAATGCTGGATAGACCATGTACAGTGGATATATTTGATCTCCTACTTTCATGATTTTGTATGGTTGGGAATGTGGGGTTGGGGATTTGAGTTCCTTATTGCTTATTCCAGAAATTCAAATACACCTATGTAATCCTGTGTCCTCTCTCTCATTAGTAGCTAAGTAGCTTCCTCTTTATCTTCAATTTTTATGAATCTTTTAATAGCTCCTGAGAAATGGTAGAGTAACTCTGTCTTAAAGACAAGTTTATCCTATTCATCCTACCCTTGATCTTTCTTGTAAATTCTCCAGGTCCTGAAGGAGGCCTCCCGTCTTTATGCAGCAAGCTGGGTACGAGACATTGGTCCTGAACTCCGCCCAAATGATTACAAGAAGGAAGAAAGTGCAGATAAAAATGGATCAAATGAAAATAAGGAGAAAGAACCAACAACACTAGAGGATCTTGGTAATAAACCTTGTCTAAAAATAGATCATTTGGATATAATAGTAGTAATGATCCTAGATCTGCCATTACATGCTCTATGACTGCTAGAGATTGTTGATCTGCTCAGTTTTGTACTGATTTGTATGATAAAATTTTCCTAGAAATTCTCCATGATTTAGCGTTAGATGTCTGAACATCTTCTAAGTTTGACACTATATCATATGGACATCTGCAAGATCTAAGATTAAAAATTACAAAATACTACTACGTAGTACGTTTGGTTATTCTCTCAATCAAGTGCTATATATTACGTAGTATTATGCAACTCACTAGGTGGTTCAAAATTCTGAGCTGGCAACTTTTAGCTGCTTCATAGCTTTTCATGAAATGTTTTGCAAATAGTATTTTAAAAGTACTCGAACTGTCACCATTTTCACTTTCCTCCATCCCAAATCAGAATTCTTAAATCTATTAACTTCTGAATTTGCGATGCAGTTGTAATTAATATCAAATCAATGCTGGATAGACCATGTACAGTGGATATATTTGATCTCCTACTTTCATGATTTTGTATGGTTGGGAATGTGGGGTTGGGGATTTGAGTTCCTTATTGCTTATTCCAGAAATTCAAATACACCTATGTAATCCTGTGTCCTCTCTCTCATTAGTAGCTAAGTAGCTTCCTCTTTATCTTCAATTTTTATGAATCTTTTAATAGCTCCTGAGAAATGGTAGAGTAACTCTGTCTTAAAGACAAGTTTATCCTATTCATCCTACCCTTGATCTTTCTTGTAAATTCTCCAGGTCCTGAAGGAGGCCTCCCGTCTTTATGCAGCAAGCTGGGTACGAGACATTGGTCCTGAACTCCGCCCAAATGATTACAAGAAGGAAGAAAGTGCAGATAAAAATGGATCAAATGAAAATAAGGAGAAAGAACCAACAACACTAGAGGATCTTGGTAATAAACCTTGTCTAAAAATAGATCATTTGGATATAATAGTAGTAATGATCCTAGATCTGCCATTACATGCTCTATGACTGCTAGAGATTGTTGATCTGCTCAGTTTTGTACTGATTTGTATGATAAAATTTTCCTAGAAATTCTCCATGATTTAGCGTTAGATGTCTGAACATCTTCTAAGTTTGACACTATATCATATGGACATCTGCAAGATCTAAGATTAAAAATTACAAAATACTACTACGTAGTACGTTTGGTTATTCTCTCAATCAAGTGCTATATATTACGTAGTATTATGCAACTCACTAGGTGGTTCAAAATTCTGAGCTGGCAACTTTTAGCTGCTTCATAGCTTTTCATGAAATGTTTTGCAAATAGTATTTTAAAAGTACTCGAACTGTCACCATTTTCACTTTCCTCCATCCCAAATCAGAATTCTTAAATCTATTAACTTCTGAATTTGCGATGCAGTTGTAATTAATATCAAATCAATGCTGGATAGACCATGTACAGTGGATATATTTGATCTCCTACTTTCATGATTTTGTATGGTTGGGAATGTGGGGTTGGGGATTTGAGTTCCTTATTGCTTATTCCAGAAATTCAAATACACCTATGTAATCCTGTGTCCTCTCTCTCATTAGTAGCTAAGTAGCTTCCTCTTTATCTTCAATTTTTATGAATCTTTTAATAGCTCCTGAGAAATGGTAGAGTAACTCTGTCTTAAAGACAAGTTTATCCTATTCATCCTACCCTTGATCTTTCTTGTAAATTCTCCAGGTCCTGAAGGAGGCCTCCCGTCTTTATGCAGCAAGCTGGGTACGAGACATTGGTCCTGAACTCCGCCCAAATGATTACAAGAAGGAAGAAAGTGCAGATAAAAATGGATCAAATGAAAATAAGGAGAAAGAACCAACAACACTAGAGGATCTTGGTAATAAACCTTGTCTAAAAATAGATCATTTGGATATAATAGTAGTAATGATCCTAGATCTGCCATTACATGCTCTATGACTGCTAGAGATTGTTGATCTGCTCAGTTTTGTACTGATTTGTATGATAAAATTTTCCTAGAAATTCTCCATGATTTAGCGTTAGATGTCTGAACATCTTCTAAGTTTGACACTATATCATATGGACATCTGCAAGATCTAAGATTAAAAATTACAAAATACTACTACGTAGTACGTTTGGTTATTCTCTCAATCAAGTGCTATATATTACGTAGTATTATGCAACTCACTAGGTGGTTCAAAATTCTGAGCTGGCAACTTTTAGCTGCTTCATAGCTTTTCATGAAATGTTTTGCAAATAGTATTTTAAAAGTACTCGAACTGTCACCATTTTCACTTTCCTCCATCCCAAATCAGAATTCTTAAATCTATTAACTTCTGAATTTGCGATGCAGTTGTAATTAATATCAAATCAATGCTGGATAGACCATGTACAGTGGATATATTTGATCTCCTACTTTCATGATTTTGTATGGTTGGGAATGTGGGGTTGGGGATTTGAGTTCCTTATTGCTTATTCCAGAAATTCAAATACACCTATGTAATCCTGTGTCCTCTCTCTCATTAGTAGCTAAGTAGCTTCCTCTTTATCTTCAATTTTTATGAATCTTTTAATAGCTCCTGAGAAATGGTAGAGTAACTCTGTCTTAAAGACAAGTTTATCCTATTCATCCTACCCTTGATCTTTCTTGTAAATTCTCCAGGTCCTGAAGGAGGCCTCCCGTCTTTATGCAGCAAGCTGGGTACGAGACATTGGTCCTGAACTCCGCCCAAATGATTACAAGAAGGAAGAAAGTGCAGATAAAAATGGATCAAATGAAAATAAGGAGAAAGAACCAACAACACTAGAGGATCTTGGTAATAAACCTTGTCTAAAAATAGATCATTTGGATATAATAGTAGTAATGATCCTAGATCTGCCATTACATGCTCTATGACTGCTAGAGATTGTTGATCTGCTCAGTTTTGTACTGATTTGTATGATAAAATTTTCCTAGAAATTCTCCATGATTTAGCGTTAGATGTCTGAACATCTTCTAAGTTTGACACTATATCATATGGACATCTGCAAGATCTAAGATTAAAAATTACAAAATACTACTACGTAGTACGTTTGGTTATTCTCTCAATCAAGTGCTATATATTACGTAGTATTATGCAACTCACTAGGTGGTTCAAAATTCTGAGCTGGCAACTTTTAGCTGCTTCATAGCTTTTCATGAAATGTTTTGCAAATAGTATTTTAAAAGTACTCGAACTGTCACCATTTTCACTTTCCTCCATCCCAAATCAGAATTCTTAAATCTATTAACTTCTGAATTTGCGATGCAGTTGTAATTAATATCAAATCAATGCTGGATAGACCATGTACAGTGGATATATTTGATCTCCTACTTTCATGATTTTGTATGGTTGGGAATGTGGGGTTGGGGATTTGAGTTCCTTATTGCTTATTCCAGAAATTCAAATACACCTATGTAATCCTGTGTCCTCTCTCTCATTAGTAGCTAAGTAGCTTCCTCTTTATCTTCAATTTTTATGAATCTTTTAATAGCTCCTGAGAAATGGTAGAGTAACTCTGTCTTAAAGACAAGTTTATCCTATTCATCCTACCCTTGATCTTTCTTGTAAATTCTCCAGGTCCTGAAGGAGGCCTCCCGTCTTTATGCAGCAAGCTGGGTACGAGACATTGGTCCTGAACTCCGCCCAAATGATTACAAGAAGGAAGAAAGTGCAGATAAAAATGGATCAAATGAAAATAAGGAGAAAGAACCAACAACACTAGAGGATCTTGGTAATAAACCTTGTCTAAAAATAGATCATTTGGATATAATAGTAGTAATGATCCTAGATCTGCCATTACATGCTCTATGACTGCTAGAGATTGTTGATCTGCTCAGTTTTGTACTGATTTGTATGATAAAATTTTCCTAGAAATTCTCCATGATTTAGCGTTAGATGTCTGAACATCTTCTAAGTTTGACACTATATCATATGGACATCTGCAAGATCTAAGATTAAAAATTACAAAATACTACTACGTAGTACGTTTGGTTATTCTCTCAATCAAGTGCTATATATTACGTAGTATTATGCAACTCACTAGGTGGTTCAAAATTCTGAGCTGGCAACTTTTAGCTGCTTCATAGCTTTTCATGAAATGTTTTGCAAATAGTATTTTAAAAGTACTCGAACTGTCACCATTTTCACTTTCCTCCATCCCAAATCAGAATTCTTAAATCTATTAACTTCTGAATTTGCGATGCAGTTGTAATTAATATCAAATCAATGCTGGATAGACCATGTACAGTGGATATATTTGATCTCCTACTTTCATGATTTTGTATGGTTGGGAATGTGGGGTTGGGGATTTGAGTTCCTTATTGCTTATTCCAGAAATTCAAATACACCTATGTAATCCTGTGTCCTCTCTCTCATTAGTAGCTAAGTAGCTTCCTCTTTATCTTCAATTTTTATGAATCTTTTAATAGCTCCTGAGAAATGGTAGAGTAACTCTGTCTTAAAGACAAGTTTATCCTATTCATCCTACCCTTGATCTTTCTTGTAAATTCTCCAGGTCCTGAAGGAGGCCTCCCGTCTTTATGCAGCAAGCTGGGTACGAGACATTGGTCCTGAACTCCGCCCAAATGATTACAAGAAGGAAGAAAGTGCAGATAAAAATGGATCAAATGAAAATAAGGAGAAAGAACCAACAACACTAGAGGATCTTGGTAATAAACCTTGTCTAAAAATAGATCATTTGGATATAATAGTAGTAATGATCCTAGATCTGCCATTACATGCTCTATGGTATAAAATAGTTTTTTCTGCAATTTTGCTTCACTGTGCATAGCACTTAATGATTTAAAAATGATTGATGAGTAGTTTCTATTTGGTATGGTCTTTGTTTAAGCATAATTTTTCATGATAGGAAGAATTGCTGCAATACAATGAATATATGTTTTGGGCTTTATGGCTGTCGTTCATATAGTTTAGCACTTACTAAGTAGGTTGTCAACTGTCTTTGACTGGAAATTTATACATAATACTTGAGCAAGTAACATCTATCTTTATAAAACTGCCTTGAAACTTTGGAAGTGCTCAACTAATTACAGAAGCTGACAAATGCTTTGTTTATTCATTTCCATTTGTAAAATGTGACTCTAATTTAGAGTACTACCTCATTGTTGCATTCTCTTTATTGCAAAGTGTTAATAACTGAAGCAAACCATTCTATCAACACAAGAGTACATATTGTTTGCTAGAGTCGAAGTATTTGATAATGTTTGGAATAATGTCACTTTTATTTAAAATTGTTAGCAAATGTATAGTTTAATCTTATCCATTTGTACTAATTTCTAAACAAAATATGGTAAGATTCTAACTGACTTTTCATCTGAAGGAAGAAGATAGAATCCAAATGATAGGAAGCATGCTATGCTTGTAATAACTTGGAAGCAATATTAGTCTTTTTTTTTTGTTTGCTATATACTAGCATGAGAGCTAATTATATAGTATACAAGTTTTTTCAAATAAACCAGTATATACCCTATCTTTTAGTTCAGTTCTGATGTGCTTTGCTTCTGGATTGCGTTGTCTTGATCTTGGAATTTGGTGGAAATAGCGGTTGCTGCTAGAGGAGGGATGGAGACTTTAAGACCTGCTCTGCAACGGTTGTACATGACCAGAGCTTCTGCCTACAAGGATGCTATGAAGAGTTTCATCGCTGGGTACCAGGAGGGTATCCAACAAGTTGTGGACAAGAAAGAAAAGTATGAATCTCAAAATCCCGAAGATGATTCAAAAAAGCCGTTTTAACCGCAATGAATGTGAGTTCTGGTGCCGTTCTCCAATTTTGATGTTTTCTTGTACAGCATTATATAGTTTAGACTCTTATCACTTATACAAACTTACAAAGTATATATATCTCAAGCATCAGTACTGCTAGTTGTTAATTTGACCTTTTTTTTTGGACAACAAATTTGACCTTCTTGAAAAGCAATACTTGTTAAAAATCATCGTCTTTCTTTATTAAAGTTGCATTTTTTGAATTGCCAGGGTTGAATGGAGGCTCACACCCAGCAGCCCAACTTCATAGCCTTATCATTTTCTGATTTGAACCCTTTAGAAATAAAATTATGAGGCTTAATACTTTTAGCAAACATGTACCCATTATATAAATTGTTCAGTGCCCTCGTTATTTAAAAGACTACATATGACTTTGCTGTGAATTCCAACGAAAGCTCAATATACTAATTTTTTTGTCTTAGCTGTAAATTTCTATATGAATAAAAAAAAGAGTTTTCATTTTTTATTCTTGCTTGTTTTAATTAAAGTAACCATCACTTGGCTTCTCTCTTCAAATTAGTAACGCAACATACATTGTATTTTTTACATGAAATTTTTTTCACTAGATTTGATTCTAGTAACTCGCACCAATTAAAATCCTCAGCTCTCTCTACAAAGTTTTCCTAATAAAAGCCCCATTTCTAATTTAGAAGGATTCATCATTTGGAAACTTCTTTCACATTTGATGAACATGTTCCTTGAATCAGATGGTATTTGTTATTTAGGCTATGGTATTCTGTTTGGGACTAATTTTCAGCTTATTTTGTTTCAGTTTCCTCGGTGCTATATAAACACCCTATGTTTAATAGTAACCATTCCCATTATTTTGTAATCTGTAATATCCTCGAGGTCAATAAAACTCTCATCTTCATCATTAGCTAACCATGTAAAATATGGGTTCCTTTCTTTTTTTTTTTTTTTTTTTTTTTTGCTTGATTTCACTTATTTATCTTGCGTCTGTCGTAACTTTACAAAACCCTTTTTAAGCCCATTATTTTATCTTAGTTTTCCTATTAATAATTAACTGTTGCCAATGCTTCTTTTTTTTTTAAACTAAATCAACACTACCCTACTACAAAACCTCTTAAAAAACTGTGCATACGAGAAGTAGGGCTTATTTTAATTAGGAATTGGGGAAGTTTTTTAAAAAATCTAAATTCTACAGTTAGCTAGTTTTATGATTGTCTTGTGTAGATAACATGCCTGTTGTGATAAGTGACTTACTGCTTTGCATCAAATACTAACTGATCTATGGATCTGGGTTATTGTACAGAAATAGTGAGTGAGAACAATGACTACTGATGTAATGGAACTGCTCTATATACGAAGACTGGAAACAACTCGAGGTATCATGTTTACAATTTTGTATCGCCAGAATCAGCTGTCGGAACATAGTTTTAGACTTCTAATTATTATTATTATTAAGTTTTCTAAGGCAGAAAAGAGTAGACATGTAGATTGTGGAACCTGAGGTAGCATGCTTTGATGATTTTACTAGTTGAATATAGATACTAAGATGATACTTGAGGAAGGAAATGATATTTGAAGTTATTTTTTAGGTTGGGCTGTATTAGTTATTGGGCCTTCAATCGGTTGAGCTATATGAGTATTGGGCCCTTTTGGTCATCAGGTACATTAAATTTTGATAGTATTGGGCTTTGCATTTGCCAAAAAAAAAAAGGGCATACCACATACTAGATGTAACAGACATTGATGGGTTTACCATATAAATATCTGCTATACTAGTAGATTACGAAGGCATTGCTTTGGGTAGCTATTTTTTTTTTCGAAAAAACAATACGGAGTATGAAGTAATAATGATTAGTAAAAATGAAAAAGAAAAAATAAAGGTAATAATGATAATTAAAAGTCTACAATTTTTATTACAGTAAGTAGTAAAATGTTTTGTTTAAAAAAATAAATATGTAAAGACAATTTTACAACCATTAATACTTACTGATTTACTTAAATATTGTACTTATGTATATAGTAATTGATGATTTAAGACTTGACAACTTTTTACTATTCTCTAATCCTCACTATTACCAAATGTATCAGTGTCATTAATCTTCCTCCTATAGTCCTATATATGCTTACAAAATTTCACCAAGCAAGCCTCTGGTGGAATGGTTTATATCTCAAAAGAATCACAACCAAGGGCGAAGCCAGGAATAAAAATCTATGGGGGTCAAGAAACGATAAAGTTAACCCAAAAAAAAATGAATAAACGCTCAAAGTGGGGAACTGTACTTGAGACCTCTTCTGAGCAAGCAAAGATCCAACCAACCAATTGAGCTATTACTAACAACATGATATGTAGGACAAATATTATCTATTTATTAGTTATTATAGTGGGGTCAGACTATATTTACATATATCACCAGTTGGGCCACGGGAGGCCGGGCCTCCACCAGCCCTCCTGACTCCGCCCCTGGTGACAACCATAAAATTGTGGGATCTTGAGACCAAAATCTATAAGGGGAGTATCAGGTACTTATTGTTTTCCCTCACTCCCAAGTCCCAAGGGCTAACCGAAGCTAGGTTGATCTTACCTACCAAAAAAAACAAATCTCAAACCCTCACTATGAATAAAGGCAAAATTGATTATTTCTTTTTTAATTTCCTTGAAAAAAAATTGTCCTACATAAATGGTATTGGTGTGAGTTCATTAATGTAGATGTCCATTCCATCCAAAACAATTCTAGCAAATTTTTAATGTAGATGACTCTCCATATGACAACATTTATGTCTCTAAAAAAAATTCTTTTCTACCACAAAAGTTATAAAATGGACTAATTTTCCACTTTTTCTCTTATATCTTGGTTTATGATAGACATACTCTGTAATAAATAGTGTGATATTTAAATAATGGAGGTAGTTATCATCTGGATGGTTTGAAATTAGTTGACTTGACAAGTCCTTTATTTTTCATAAATATTGATCTTCATCACATTTCAAAATTAAACAAAATAATTCCTCATCCTCCCATTTGTCTTGTCATGCTAACTAGTCAAGTCAGCTAAATTTAAAACATCAAATTGATGGTTTAAAATTCATTGAGTTCTAAAAAGGGAATGCTATATATTAGACTTATTATTCCCTTATGAAATCAATCAAATTTTTAGAAAAACATTGTTCAGTGAGAAGACCCTTGACCCCATCATCTTAGTTAATGGTCTACTTGAGTAGTAACATTACTGTGAGGATTGAGAAGATCAGATGGTGGCCTTGTGGAGAGGATATCTTGTTCAAATTGCTGATACAAACAGTGTCTTAAATCGATTAAGCGGAACATGACTACTCAACTTTTTAAGTAAATACTCCGTATTATTTAAGACTTGGAATCAAATACCGCGTAGGGTGTACATTAATGTCCTTTACGGCTCTCTACTTCTCCAAATTGAAAAAAGGAAGCTTTTTTAATACAATGGTGTACAATAATAGTCTAGAGTCTTGAACTTATAAGTGATCTATCCAATGAATTTAATGGAGAATAGGGTAAAGTGCACTTACTTTATCCTATTACTCTCTAGGCCCTTTATTTATTCTTCCAACCCATTAAACTTTAGCTTCCCTAAATAGACAATCACCCATCTTTTTTCAACCTTATTCTACTTCACCCATTTTCACCCTTTCAAGAAAATCAGATAAGCTCAGTATGAATGAGTATACTATACACTCGGGCATGCCTAACTTTCAATGATCCTTAAAACGATTTTCTGCTCCATTGTGCAGTTAGAGCTCGTCATATAAGCAAATGAGCCAAAATATAATTTCAGGCGTACTTAAAACTTAGTTAAAACGGTGAATGGTATGCTTATGTCTGAATTTCATAGTCACATTATTAGTTCAATTACGCTGTTATTGAACTACAACGATTACATTCGAACGGGAGTACAAAATAATTACTGTTCTCCATATCCATATAATAATCCAAGATAAAGTAATCTCAGGAGAGGGGTGAAAAAAAAGAACTAAGAGTGAGAGTGTGTTCATAAGTCAGTGTAAAACTAAATCAGGAGAATGCTAGTATACCCCTAAAAAAAGTACTGCACATATTTACTTACCTAGTTACTTGATCAGATGATCAACATTGTACTGCTAAAGTATCCTAGTAACTGCACAAAATTGATGGCAAAACTTTGTATTTTACCTCAAAACTCTCAGTCTAACTCACAGTAAAATACAGAGTACTTTCCTCTTTTTACCCCTTTTTTTTAACTTTGTTTGTGGAAGGGGGCAAAACAGGTGTACTATGATAACAAATGATACACTTCCTTAAAGATACTGAGAGTTTTTCATGTATTTCAGCTAACTGCATATTTTTACTTTTCTGACTATCAATCTTTGTTTGGTCATCATAGTATAAAAATAACTGTTCATTTTTGTCTAAACTTGTACAAAAAATTCCTGCACATTTCTAAGTTACTTGAACAAACAGTTAACTGTACCAGAATTCAGGTAAAATAGATTTTTTTTTTTTTTTGGGGTAATATTGTGAGGAGATTTTGTTGTAGTAGTAGTACAGTAGTGGCAGTTTAAGTGGGTGTTTTAGAAGTGCTAGTGCAGAACCGCAGCTGCTTTACTTGTGATCAGAATTTCTCCAAAGTCTTTTCAAAATCACAAGAAATTCAGTCTTTTTCTTTTAAATAAAAGTATATTATCTTCAGATTCCCCTTCAACAGTGACTCAGATCCTGTTTGTTACAAGTACTACCCATCCCATGTTGATTTTCTACATTTCGTTTACCCTGGTCTATTAAATTGTTACTCCATCCGTCTGTTCTCGGCTGAACTGAGCTGAGCTGAACTGAACTGAACTGAAATGAAATGAATATTTTATAAGAGAATTATGAGTTGAATTGAACTGAACTAAAAATAAACGTATGAGAACAGGCCCTAAGTCTTATACGACATTGGTTTTTATTTACGCCTTTAACACATTAGATCATTAGTTCGAATAATGGTATTTTTAACAAAAGAATCATTTGATGATTGAAGTATAGTGTGGAATGGGGTGTATATTTAGGATTTTGGTCATAGTTTGCAAGTTAAGTTTGACAACTAATAGTCAAATTAGACAAACTTCTTTTGATTGAGGAGTATATAATATGGAGTCAACAAACATAAAAAGTGAAATTTGACTTTCTTGATGAAGCACTGGGAATTGTATGGCAGATGTCTAAAACAAGGATAAACAAAAACTTTGATTCATTCAAAAGTCCAATTAGCACTTTATAAACAAAAAATTCATTTTGAATTGCTTTGTCAAAACATTTATTTCATAGTACTAATGTTATCAGCTGTCTCACTTTAGATACTATGAATTTTTTAATAGTAAATAACTAAATATAGGTTAATTTGAAAAAGCTTTAAATTTGAATACCAAGTTATAGCCAATAGATCATGATAAAAACATCCTATAATAATTTGAAGAACAATTATTTATTATGCTATTTGCACAAAAACATAACATGAGAAACTAAGACCATGCGTCCATGCTCTTTTGAATTGAAATATCTGATTAAATTTTAATTGTCTAAACTAAACTATAAACATAGGTCCAAAAAAGAGGGCTTAAGTAATTGTTTGTTCCCCTTTTGAAGTGTCCCTTAGCTTCGTCCAAAAAAAAAAAATAGGAAGTCACTTAGCATGTTACATTTAAGGATTTTTTTATTATTTTTTTTCGACAAGTTTTTTGACGAATTTAAAATTGAACTTATTTAACATAAATCAAACATTAATAACCATGACTGATGTACATTTTTGTTATGCATCGTACTAATTAGGAAATATACTACCTTCGATTTTTATTATTTACAACTTTGGAATATTTTATATCTCACAAATAATACCCCAAAGTTGCAAATAATAAAAATCGGAGGTAGTATTTAATTTTTATTGACGAAATATTTAAGCATTAGACATGTTGCATTATTCAATCCATACACATTTAAGGCTAAATTTTTTTCCCCCTATCTTATCCAATACAGTACTTACATTATTAATTATATCCAATCAAATTATAAAGTGTACAAATAATCAAGATATTAGGATAAAATGTACTACTAAATTAAACAAAATACACGTTTGTGAAGTGTAGACAAAATTAAAGGACAAAAAAGTCCATGTTGTTTGCGTCTAGGTTGAAATTGAGTAACGTGAAAGGACACCAGAAAACTAATCAAGCAATAAGAAGAAATCTATTTGTCTGAAACCATATAAAGTACTAAGGCCCTGTTCTGATACAATTATTTTCAGTTCAGTTCAGCTCTAATAAGTACAATTCAGTTCACCTCTAATAAGTACAATTCAGTTCAGCTCCTAATTTCCTTCTCTTATAAAATATTCAGTTTAGTTCAGCTCAGTTCAGTTCAGCTTGGCTCTAATAAGTTCAGTTCAGGTCAGTCAATGAGAACAGACCCTAAGAAATGGTGAAGACAATAATCAATGAGTCATATTGTAAATTACCCTATTTATGCATTAGTGCTTGGGACATTGCACATAATTTATGAGGCCTTTGGCTTAGGTAGAAGAAAGCAAAATTAAAGGGCATCAA